GGTTGAGGATTTAGGGTTTAGGGGCTACCGTTTCGAACAGCTTCTCCCTTGGCTCAGGGTGCTTTTGAGGGCCTGGGGTTTAGGGGTTTGTGGCTTTGGCCTTGTGGGCTGCCGGGGTGTCGTGTTTGCTGTTTGGGGTTGAGAGAGTACGTAGCCTGCCTGCGGGATCATGCACTAGGCGACCATTCCGCACATTAAGCAGCTGCACAACGGTATACCTTCACCAGAATTCCGCCGACAAACTCTAAACCCCAACCTTGAACAACAGCCAGCACAAACCTAAATTCCCACAATTCCGTAACCCCTACCTGCCCAAACCCCGAAACCACACGAGCCCCAAAATCCAAAAACCTCCACAACCCCCAAACCCCCAAAACCTGTAAGCCCGAACCCCTTGTGGTACCCCCATAGATCCTTTGCAGAACCCTTAATACACCCCTGATCCAAAGCCCCATCTTCTTCACCTAAAAAGGCCCGGGGTCCTTATTCTCGTTGCAACTCTTCAGGAGAGCCATCGCGTCGAGGTCACGCGGGTTGATCACCTCGGAGGTGGAGCTCTTGCCCTAAACCCTAAACCCTAATATTCAGAGTTTAGTCTTTCGGGTTTAGGGTTTCGTGCCTTTTTTTCGGACCTGGCTTGGAGGTTGTCGATTAGGGTTCAGGGTTCAGGGTTTAGGGTTTAAAGTTTAGGTTTCACGGTTTAGGGTTTAGGGTTGAGGTCCTTTCTTGGAGGGTGCAGGCTTCCAGTAGAAAAGACAAGACGAAAAGCCCTCCAGCCTTTTGAGGCAAGTGCTCTACCGTTTGGAGTATACACGTGTTTTAGGGTTCAGGTTTTCGCATATTGCCTGACCCTCCACGTGCCTACTATAAAGGGCCCTAGGGGCTCTAGTACCGGGGGGGTTAGGGATTACTATCGCGTCCACTTGTAGCTGCGGTTGCGATCACTATCGTTGCAGCAACACACGCAATCACTCCAGTGATGAGCAAAAGCTACTGCATTTCTTGAAAGCCCGGAAGGTTCTCGGATGTCCGGAACCCAGGAAGATGGATTTCACTGCACAGCTAAACCCTTAAGCCCAAAGCCTTTCAAGATGCGTGAAACAACAAGACGTGTCCAAGGCTTCTTAGGTTGGTTTTAAGGTTCCTGGAAGGGTTCCTTTGCATTAGAGTTCCTTTAAGACTTCTCTAAGGGCTGAGATACTTGGAGGATCATGGGACTTAGTAAGTAAGGCTATAGGGGTTTGGGGTTATACGGTTTTAAGGCTTATAGGGTTTAGGGTTTAGGGTTTAGGCTTCGGCAGATGGACCGCAACTTCGAGGACTTTACATCAAGATGAACAGCATGTCGGTGCCGGAGTTGGATTCTTACATGGCCTGAGGTGGCGTAACATGAGGTATTGGCAGGTGCAAGCCCCCAGAGAGCCCAATACCCCTTAATTAAGGAATATACCTTAAACCATAATATTGAGGCCCTCATAATTTAAGGTATATTCCTTAGTTAAGGGGTATTGGGTTCTCTGGGCCGGCGCCAACAAAACGCTTCTTCTCGCCATGCTTCAACGTGGCCACTCCCTAAGGGTCCTCCCTATATAGGTACTTTCGGGCCAGTGTATATACTATTTAGGTACATGGACCCTTAGGGATTCCTCTAGGCCTGGAGTGGCATAGCGACGGAGATGATTTTCGAGCGATGCCAGCTCACGAGGTAAGGGTTTGGCCATGTTTTCAGCTGGAGATGTGCACCTCTGCACTTGGAGGATCATGGGACTTAGTAACTAGGGCTATAACTAAGGTAACTATACTTATAAGTAATTATAACCCCAATATATACTACTGTATAATTATGATAAGGCGCCCCCCAAAATGGTACTGGTAATTAATGAGGCCCCTATATTAGGGATTGGCGTTTAGGTTTCAGCGTTTGGGGTTTAGGATTTAAGGCCTAGGTTTCGGGTTTAAGAGTCAAGCTTTTATGGTTCAGGGTTTAGGGTTAGGCTTTAGGGTTTAGATTTCAAAGTTCAGTGCGTTAAATTATGAGCGGTTGTAGTGGCTTATAGGGACTGGTGGTTTTTATATCCACGGGTCACTGTTTGAACTTTTGGGGGCTTAGGGCTGAGGGTTGATTAGCTTCAGGCACAAGCCCTAGGCCATAAAATCCAAGGTAGGATCTCCAATACAAACTCTGCATTCCGGAAGGGAGTAGACCGCATACCTAAGCATCTGATCTCCAAACCTGGATCCTAGACTCTTAGAAACTAGATGCGAGACCCCGGACACCAAACCAGAGAAACCCTCCATCCTCATCCCTCAACCCTAAACCGTAAAGCCTAAACCCTAAACCCTCTTATCCCTAAACCCTCTTATCCCTAAGCCCTACACCCTAAAGCCTAAACCCTAAACCCTCTTATCCCTAAACCCTAAACCCTCAATCCTCTTATCCATAAACCCCGGGAAGCGGCCTTGATCGGAGGGCCAAGGTGATCCACATCGATGGTTGGCTCGCCTTGCACCTGGGCGGATTGAATCGCGGGAGTTTAGGGTTTGGGGATTTGGGGTTTAGGGTTTAGGGTTGGGGAATTAGGGTTTAGGGTTTAGGGTCTAGGGTTCAGCGTCTAGGGTTTAGGGTTTAGGGATGAGAGGGTTTAGGGTTTAGGGGTTTCCTACAGGCTCCTTACAAGGGCTTAAAATGACTCCGTAGGGCCCCAAACCACAAACCCTAAACCCTACGAGAATGTCAGAGAGAGAGTAGTCGGGCTACACGGACAACGGCGAGCGGTAGTACGGCCTTTGTAAAAAAAGGCACAGCTCGTAGAAGGTGTGATCTAGGGGCCTTTAATAATTAGAATCGGGTTCTGGTGGATGTTATACTTTAACTGTAACAAGGAACCTCAAAATAGTATAGGGAAGTATTAAGGCCCGTAAATAGGGCTTAGGGTTAAGGGCTTCACAGGCCCTACCGCAGGCCTCCTCCACGACCTTCAGCGGAAGGAGCTGTTTCCAATGATCCAGCTCCATGCGCGCTTCGACCTCTGTGTTGAAGCTGCGTTCGTAGATGGTCCAGTACCCGCTGGTACTAGCGGCGTCTTCAACCTCGTCCCGCGTGAAATTGCGGGCCTTCAAGCGACTAATCGCACGAGAGTAGTTCCGGAAGAACACGAGACAGCAGCCAGCGGTGGTGCGGTCTAGCACTACCTCGACCTCCAGGGTTTATAGCTTAGGGTTTATAGTTTAGGGGGTTGAGATGAGGGTTTAGAGCTTAGTTTCTCAGGATCTCGGAGAAAAGGATTTATGGGAAATACACATGAAAGTTTGATAGAGTGCTCTAGTGGACTACAGAGATTAGGGTTCTAGGTGATTGAGTTTCCTTCCTGGGGATTGTGGCTTGGGGGCTGCGACCTGAAGCAAGAGTGTACTTGTGTTTCATACGTTCCAGGGTTTAGGGTTAGGGGTTTCGGTTTAGGGATGAGGGCTTTAGGAATTGGAGGTTTAGGGTGTGGGATTTAGGGTTGTAGCCGGCTACAACACGCATGAATACTCAGCATGATAGGGTTGCGGGCCGGATGGCAGCTTGAACCCTAAACCTTTGACCATGTGAGACAGAGCCAGGGTTTAGGGTTTAGGGCTTGGGGCTCTAAACCCTATAGAGTTTAGGGTTTAGGGTTTAGGGCTGTAAACACTATGGGTTTAGGGTATAGGGTTTAGGGCTCTAAACCCTAAACCCTCAACCACCAAGCACCTTTAAGACTTAACCCGATACTCTGAAACCACCGTCGAAACCCTGCAAAGCCCTTGCAAGAGCCTTTTAAGTCCTTCATGTAGGAGCCTAAAGTAAAGGAAACTACAGGTGGGGAGTTTAGGGTATATAGGGCTTCTATAAGGCTTTTATAAGGTATACAGATCTTCTATAAGGCTCCTATAACGGTAACTACCCACCTGAAAATGTCCTAGATGTAGGAGCCTGAGTAATAACTCTTCCTCAAGGTTCCTAGTTGTAACTATACGGCATTCTTATACCTCCAAAACCCTAATCTAGCTATAGTCACTGTAATAAATCTTGTAACACCGTATCATTCCCAAAACCCTAAACCCTAAAGCCTGAAGCCTAAACCCTAAACCCCTAAACCCCTAAACCCCCAAACCCTAAACGGTATCCTTCATCCGAGCCCTAGAAAGCCCTGTTTCCAAGCAATCCGAAGACCTGAGCTCTGACTGGCACTAACCCCCTAAATCCCAAATCCGTTTAGGCTTTAGGGGTTTAGGGATTTAGGGGTTTAGGGGTTTGGGGGTTTGGGGCTTAGCGGTTTAAGGGGTCTAAGGGTTTAGGGTTCTGAACACTGCATGCAATGCCTGAACCCACCAAACCCTGAACCCATGTAACATAGGGGCCTTAATAATTAGAATGGGGTTTTGGTGTACATGATACTTTAACTATAACAAGGAATCCCCAAAAAATAGTATTGGTAACTCTCTTGGCTTTTATACTATGTACCACAAAACCCCGAAACCGCTGAAGTAACCCTTCCTCCCTTCCGAAGCTCCGGCGACGCAGTTCCAGTGGTTCCGACCCTGTGACTCCCTTTCCTGTGCAGGCGATGTTAAAGGAAACTGTAGGTGGGGAGTTTAGGGTATCCAGAGACTCCCAAACCCCTTAATTAAGGAATATACCTTAAACTCTAATAGGAATCCTAATATGATTTAAGGTATATTCCTTAACTAAGGGGTTTTGGAGTCTCTGGGTATATACGTAGGGCTTCTAGAAGGCTTCTATAAGGTATATAGACCTTGTATAAGGCTCCTACAACGGTAACTACNNCTACCCACCCGAAAATGTCCTAGACGATGGGCCGGGACGCTCAAACCTATGTAATGGAGGGGCCTTAACTGGCGGGGACAGCGGGTTTCTCAGCTCTTCGAGATGGCACCCGGTGACCCTAAACCCTAAACCCTAAACCCTAAACCCTAAACCCTAAACCCTAAGCCCTAGACCCTAAACCCTAAGCCCTAAACCCTAAACCCTAAACCCTAAACCCTAAACCCTAAACCCACAAGGCTCCTG